TTTTTGGGATACATATCGGGATTCGTGCATTACTTTTTCGTAAAGCTGCTTTTTGGTGGGCGGCAGGATCAGTGGGTCCCACTTAAATGATAGCAGATCTCGTAATTTGTGAGAATGGCGTGTAGGCGCCTTGTCACCAGCTTAGGAGGTGGTGACCTCGGTTCGTACTGATCTTGGTTGGGATGACCTCGGCTGATAGTGTTTATTTCGGTCTTTTATGGTTATACTGGTTTGACGTGCGAACCAGGATGATTGCGGACCACGTCGGTGTAAGTGTTAAGTTGCCTAAGACGCTGTTTGAGGCTCATAACATTGAATTACCGAGTCGGATGATTACACCTTTCATCTTTCTTTTCCTTAAAAGACCTTGGCCCTCTCCATTTTTTCTTGGGAATTCAAGTTTCATATACCTCTCAGGGATTGTTTCTTGACCAATCCTCCTATATAGATGACATTCTTGATAGAGCTGGCATGAAGGGGGCAAAAGGCATAAGCACACCCATGCTCAGCCATCCACCTCTATCAAAGTTTGATGGCCAACCTATGTCAAATGGTAAACTGTATAGGCAAATAGTGGGAGCCCTACAGTATGTTTCCCTCACAAGACCTGGTGTAGCCTTCAGTGTTAACAAAGTGTGCCAATTTATGCACTCTCCTTTGGATAAACATTGGAAAGCAGTGAAGAGAATACTGAGGTATTTGGCAGGAACCAGGGATTTTGGTTTGATGGTAAATAGATGCAAGGACTTTCAGATCACTGGGTTCTCAGATGCTGACTGGGGATCTGATGTGGATGATAGAAGGTCTACAAGTGGAATATGTGTCTACATGGGAGAGAATCTGATCTCTTGGTCATCTAAGAAACAAAATCTGGTTTCAAGGTCTTCAACCGAGGCAGAATACAGGAGTGTTGCACAAGTCACATGTGAGATCATGTGGATCCAGTCCTTATTGAATGAACTAAGGATAAAATCACCTAAGCCAAGCAGCATATGGGTTGATAATAGGGGAGCTGTGTGCTTAGCTGGGAATCCTGTGAATCACTCTAGAACAAAACATCTTGAGCTTGATTTAAATTTTATAAGGGAAAAGGTTGAGAGCAAGATTGTTACTATTAAGCACATACCAGCTACTGAACAGGTGGCAGATATTTTTACCAAGCCTCTTTCAGGGCAATTCTATGCTTGCTTGAGAAACAGATTGATGATTAGTGAAATGTCGAGCATAGAATTGAAGGGGGCTGTTAGAAGAGGCCATAGTCTTCAACACTTCAACAATGACAAGGAAAAAGGGACTGCTCACGTGGAAAGCAAGCACGCATACGTGGAGAAGAAGAAAACTGATCCATGCAGTACACATAACCCTAAATCCCGAGAATGAATATCATCCATACATGTGTCCCTTCATTACTGAGATGTGCGCAGCCTTAGCACCAATATAGTAGGACATGTTCTGCCTTGGTAGTATAGAATAGCATATATTCATGTACAAGGAAAAATAACAGTGAGAAGAAATTAATGAATGCACATGGTTTTTTGAATGTGGCTTCCTATTTTTATGGCTTTTCTTCATCCTTTATTGTCTTTTATTTGGTTTTCCTTTAACTTGGAGGGTCAACAGATCTACCCTTCTATTTGTATAGGGTAACGAGATAGAAAATGGCATATGATGGCTCAGCTAAACGACTACGTGAACCATAACAGGGCTCAATTGTTCGACGGCGCCCTCCTTCTAGCGCCATTCTATGATTAGAATTTAGAATAAGTGGAATGAGAAAATTTTGGGAAAGGAATGTAGGAACAACAAGACAGTCGACAAATTAGGTGTTGCTTGCACCAGGAGTTTTATAGGGATTTAAGTCGTTCTCATACTTCTTTTAGACAAGAGCATAGTAAATGTCATTTGAGCTAGAAACCTAGCGAGAATTATAACAACTCTAGTATTGTTGGATGGTTTTTTGGATCTATTTTTAGATGTCCTTTGCTAAGTCTTGGAGCCTTGCTATTTATAGAAGGGGGATGCCTTTAAAATATATTATTTCTGATACATGTGGCGAGTCCTCATGGATAAACGACATTGCAGGTGGTGTGTATCCCCAACAATTGCCCAACTTGCTCAGGTGGCTTATCTCTTTAGGCGGTACAGACTGTTTATAGGCGACAACTATTTTCTCACAAGGTTTAGCTGAGGTCGACCTGAAGGAAGGTCCACTTGCTTGTGACATGTGTGAGGATAATATATCTCTTCGTTGTGGTGACGTTAGTTTGACGTGTCTATGGCCTTCACTGAGATCGGCACAGAGGATGAGATCGACTTGGAGGACGGTGTCTGTATCTGATCCGATGTATGCTTACGCCCTTATGTGGGCATTGTCATCTAGGTCTTCGGAATATCGCTGGAAGAAACTTAATGTCCACATCATCATTGTTTAGTGGGCTCTATTCGTATCGATAGATCTTGAGTACACAAACTTATTTATCAACTACTAAATTTATCTATTAAATTGTTATATAATATGACTTAGAAAAGTTATTATATAATAAACATTACAAAAATTATTGTAGTACCATTGAGTGAAAATTGTCGTGCCGATTTCTGTTGCTCATATATGTAGAATTACGGTGATTCATAATTCTCTGAGCTTTTGCAGCAGAGCCGGCCCCAACCTTTTTTAGGCCCTGGGCCAAATGTAAGAATAATGCCCCTCCTTTTTTTCAATACAATTAAATTTTTTTGATTTCAACCATTATTTTGTTTATACCATTCATTGAGTAACTTTGGTGAATTGATTAAAAAAAATGCCCCTAATTTTTGTTTATTTCAATGCGACAAGCTAATAAGCTAAATAAATAAGTTAAAAGCAAATTTATATGAACCTAAATCATAACTAAGTACGAACACCATTATTTACAATATTATATAATTATGTGTAAGTTGAATATTACATTTATATAAATCATTATAATTTTGTGGAGAAAATTAACTCTCCTTCATTTTAATGTAATTTTATTTAATAACATTTCATATTATTCTACACTTTGTTACTTAATGAAATGATATTTTATTCAATGAGTTGCGATTTCCTTAGAATGAACAGTGATTATAATTAGTACATAAACTATAAAGATTCCCACAAAAAAAAAAAAAAAAATCTAATAGGAATAAATAATGATGAGTTGGTAGGTTCTCATCTAGAATTTCATAAAATTTTGTCCATTTTAATTATTGTGCATTTAATTTTTTATGTATTTTTATTTTTGTAATTTTTTGTAATCAATATTTGTGGAAAACCGATCTAAGAATTAATTTTGTTGCCTTGGGTTCTTTGTGTATCAAATCTTAAAAGCGGAATAAAAACTTTGGCGTCGTCTTTGTAGCATTTAGTAAATTAAAAAGGCCCTGGAGGTTATTTGCTAAAATGGAGGATCATATCTAAATTAGGCCCATCATATTGGGCCAGATGGATCACAATCATCTCCATCTCAAAAGCATTATTTGTATTATTAAATGGGCAAAACAGAGCCCCAAAAATTGTGCCCCTTCAAAATGGGCCCTGGCCTGGGCCCTGGGCCGTCGCCCAGGTCGCCCTGGGCCAGGGCCGGCCCTGTTTTGCAGTAGCAAAAATAAATTTGGACTTGCATCAATTTTTATTAGGTCTTTAAAAATTACAAAATACTTGACCAACTTAAATTATAAATATTTTCAAAGTTAATAACTTTTGTATTGATATCATATTTTCATATTCGTTCACTATTTTTTATTGATTCAATTTGATATAACTCTTTATTTTGTGTTATTTCTTTTTTAAATAAAATATTGGAGTAGCCAATTTTAAAAGATAATAAAGCTATTTGAATTTATTGTACTAAAGTGAAATTTCAAAAAAAAAAAAATGTATAATTAGAAGTTATTGTACTAAAGTGAAACAAAAAATTACTAGATGAAAATGCTATAAAATTAAAAGTTACCATGCTAAGAAAATAATAAAAATAATAATAATAATAATAAAATTAAAGCTGCCCCTATTTCCGGTTTGGGACAGACTATGAATGGTAGGACCTTTCGCTGTGTTTTGTGTTATCGTCTTGGCATTCCCCTATTTTCTATTCCGGCGCCTTGTTCTGCTTGCTCCAGGGTTTTCGAGGGCGATATTTTCGGTGATCATGCTGTGTCCTGTGCTGGTGTTGTTGGTATCAAACATCGCCACAATCTGGTCCGTGACACTCTTGCTGATATTTGTTATCGATCTGGCATATCTGTTGGCAAGGAGGTTGACATTGGCTTGTGTGATGAGAACGACAAGCCCCTCCGTCCTGCGGATTTGTTGCTTTACTCCTGGGATGGGGGACGTGATGTTTGTGTGGATCTGACAGGGTCCTCTCCTCTGACACTAACCGGGATGACAAACTTTGTGGCTGGTCGAGCAGTTCGAGATGCAACGCAACGCAAGCACACCAAATATTTGGGTAAGTGCGAAGCAAAAGGGTATGGCTTTCTACCTTTCTCTTTCTCGTCCTTTGGGGAACTGGATGATGCGGCTGTTTCTCTACTCCGACGCATTCAAAAGTTTTCCTTAGCCCAAGATATTGGAGCAAAGGCTGCTACTCACATTTATACTAGAATAGGCTTTGCTATAGCCAAAGGAGTGGGAGCCCAAATTGTATCTCGGCTGCCCACTAATTTCTTGTAAAAATAATAATAATTATTATTATTATTAAAAAAATAAATAAA